AGGGAGAGCCCATTGCCAGGCCATTTGGTTGACTGTAATATTTATCATTGAATTTGAAATAGTTTTGTTTGAGTGTTTCATTTAACAAAGTTAGTAGTTCGGTAATTGCTTCAGGTAGTAAATTCGAATCTTTGTTCAGGTGGTCTTTGACCATGTCTAGAGTTTGGTCAACAGGAACATTAGTAAAGAGATTGACAATGTCAAATGAAACTAGTAAATCATGAGGGTTTACCTGTACATTTTTGGCTTTGTTAATAAAATCATAGGTGTTGATAACAACATAACCGCATCAACACCTATGATTTTATTAACAAAGCCAAAAATGTACAGGTAAACCCTCATGATTTACTAGTTTCATTTGACATTGTCAATCTCTTTACTAATGTTCCTGTTGACCAAACTCTAGACATGGTCAAAGACCACCTGAACAAAGATTCGAATTTACTACCTGAAGCAATTACCGAACTACTAACTTTGTTAAATGAAACACTCAAACAAAATTATTTCAAATTCAATGATAAATATTACAGTCAACCAAATGGCCTGGCAATGGGCTCTCCCTTATCAAGTTTACTCGCCAACGTATATCTGAACCATATTGAAAATAAATATATATTTTCAGACCTGAACAAACAAAAAAAACAAGATAACGGAATATCACCGTTATGTTGATGACACAATTTTTATTTTCAAGGGTAACACTAGACAGCTCAACCTTCTACACAAGTTCCTCAACAATATAACGCCTAATTTGAAATTTACCATGGAAACTGAACAATCAAATAAAATAAATTTCTTGGATATCACAATAGAAAAGATAGATAACAGATTAGATTTTAGTATATATAGAAAGCCTACCACGTCAAACCAAACCATTCACAGCACGTCTTACCACCCCGTATCACATAAACTGGCCGCCTACAATAGCATGGTATATCGCTTATCACATGTCCCAATGACAGAGCAAAACTACTATAGAGAACTGAAAATCATCAAACAAATTGCCGTATCTAATGGGTATGATATTCAAATGGTTGACAACTTAGTAAAGAAATACAAAAATAAACAAAATCAAAATCAGAACTTAACCCCGCAAAACAAAAAATTTGTCTGCGTAGATTATTCTCACCACCTACATCACAGCTTAAAGAATGAGTTGGAAAAGCATGGGATCAAACTAGCTTTCAGAACTAGCAATAAAGTTATTAATATGTTAAAACCTAAGATAAATAAAAATAAAGCTGACCAATCAGGTGTATATAAAATCAAATGCGCTAGTTGCCCGAGTACATACATTGGAAAAACAGGACGATCCTTTAGCATTAGGTACAAAGAACATCGCCCTAACGGGAAGACTGACAAACAAAAATCCACGTTCGCGCAACACCTGGTTGATAGCAATCACGACTTACTTGATTTGGACAACGGCTTAGAAGTTCTACACGCCTGTATTAATGGAAATAGATTAGATACCCTTGAAGAATATGAGATTTATAAAGCTCATAAAATAAAAAGCAGCAATGAGCCCATACTAAACGATCAATTACAATTTAAATCCCACACCATTTTTAATAACATTATCAAACGGAGCAAGCCACAGACAAGGGATCAAAGTCCAGCAGATAATACCGCCACAGCTGGAACGAACTAGCAGTTGTCCAGTCAGCTTCCGTACTCGTAGCAATCATGTACGCGACAGGCCTGTCTCTTGTTTTACGTGTTTTTGTGTTTTTATCGTGTTCGTGTATATGTACAGTTTAACGACGCCAATTCAGGTGGATGTATGTGTATCTGATGATGGCATTTTAATGCCGAAACAGCTGTAATCTACAGTAACTACAGAGCTGTGACGAGGTATTTATATTATATTATTTATTTCAGTTATGTTGGCTAACCTTAGTTACGTAATGGATTAGATTTTTGTAAAAGCTGACTCATACTAGGTCACATTTGATTTCAGTATGATACTTCTCCTTAAGTAAAATACATTTGATTCATAGACAATATCTTGGTGGTTGTAATGTCCACCTAGTAATCTAAAGGTCACCAGTTCAATCCTAAGAAAAGTGTTTAGCTTTTTGATGGTTCGAAACTGGACCCAGCTTTCCTTGATCATTGGGCTTTCAATAAATGGTCCTGACTAATCAAACAGCTGGTCTTAGCAACAAAGCTACACAAGGCATCACGTTCCATTCTACACTCATCCTTCACTCATCGAGGGTTCAAATACTCACATTGGTGGCGTCCCCATCTTAAATTAATATGAATATGCATGTTATACCTTTTTACAATATTTCTGGATATTATTTTCAATTTTTCTCCTCATTAAAACGTTAATGCCTTCGAAGAAACCCTGCTCTTTAGAAGAACAACCTGTAATTTTGTTTCTATATAAGTAGTAAAAGGGAATGCTTTTAAACTAACCATGGGAGTTTTGAAATTAATTTGTATTTTTAATACGTAAAAGTCTGTCATATGATTGATGCTAAGATCACAGCTTAAAAAATATGAAACATGACTTGCTTACACACGTTTATAGAAGCAAATGCATCATAGATTGCTATGGAAGAACAAGAGTTGCCATATTGAATCCAACTAGCTTGATACTACAACTTGTTGATATTGAGCAACTAGCTTTACCTATGTTATTCTATTTACTTACCCTTCTATTCTGTTTGCTCACAACATCCAGACGAGACACAAGACTATTGTTTAAGAGTTTAAGGGGTTACTCGTAACATCCTAAATTGAATCTTAGGTTTATCAACATGCGGTACGATAAGAGAATAAACAATAAACACGGACTTTTATAGCTCACTTATAGCAGACGGCTGGTCAGTTTAGCCTAGGATAAACAATTAAGGGTTTTCTCATTGCTCCAGATATAAAGCTAAAATTACCCTTAGCTTACATCGCAGTCCGTTTTCTTGGTTGAACGAGTAGTTTTTCTAATAAACCATAATCTTTCATCTATCAAATTATTATATTTTGACTTTATTATATTTCCAAAGATACAAAACAATGTAAGCACAAAACATGTGTTCAAAGAAAAGAAATAATTTATAAATAAAAATACTTTTTAAAAATAACACGTTTTTAAACGCACTAAAAAGTATAAAATAATTTATAAAATGTTGAGAGTTAAATACTTGTAAGATTTAAAACGAAAAACGTGGGGCGCATGCTGATTTACAATTAACTTCACCTATTGAACTATTACGATATATTGCATGCGCCCCACGTTTTTCGTTTTAAATCTTACAAGTATTTATTCTCTCAACATTTTATAAATTATTTTATACTTTTTAGTGCGTTTAAAAACGTGTTATTTTTAAAAAGTATTTTTATTTATAAATTATTATCTAGTTTTTAGTCTTTAATGTGTAAATATGTTAAATCTATTTTATATAGCCTCTTAATGCATAACCAAAACCCAAAACCTTATTATCTGTAATCAGATGTTTTATCTTTACTTTGAAATGATTGTTGTATATTTTTAGAATATCTCGGGAGCAGAACCTGTACCTCTTAACCTCTGCTCTTCTAACTGTCAAATTTAAGTATTTACAGCTGACTTAAATTAGTTTATATGTTTACATTCTTTTAAAATGTAAACATGGAAAATTTGGAAGCCAAAGAGGCGTAGCCCAAGGGAAATATGAAAATTAAATTATATAATATTGCATTGTCATCAATTTGTAAACTATGTTTCAAGTTTCAAGTCTCTAGCTCATCTGAAACTTCGTTTAAAATTTATATCAAAATTTGTAGGAAAGCGAGCTAATAAAAACAAGCCCTTGGGGCGTAGGCCAAGGGAAATATGAAAATTAAATTATATAATATTGCATTGTCATCCATTTATGAGCTATGTTTCAAATTTTTAAGTCTCTAGCTCATCGGGAAGTATAACAATTTGCAAGAAAGCGATTTAATAAAAACAAGCCCATGGGGCGTAGCCCAAGGGAAATATGATAATTAAATTATATAATATTGCATTGTCTTCCATTTGTGAGCCATGTTTCAAGTTTCAAGTCTCTAGCTCGTCGGGAAGTTAGTATAAAATTGATTTCAAAATTTGTACCGGACAAGAAAGCGAGCTAATAAAAACGTTTTAATACAATAAAAACGTAAAATAACTATTCTTTGAAATAAATGTCTTTTATGGTGACCTTATTATTATAACTATATGAATCACTTCTTACACAGTTCATATGATAAATTGTTTAATTTAAAATATTCTTAAAAAAATTTTGTTTAATTTGCAAGCTATAAAGGTTCCAGATATTGTCCAATGTAAAGCTGTTGTAGTGCGTTTTTGTAAAAAGATAAATAATAAAATACTTTACCAAAACAATGTTTAAAAAACAATGTTTTCAAATGTTTGTATAAGTTTTTTACAATTTAGTTTTCAAGTTCAAATAAAGTGACTGTAAATGTTATTACCCTCAGTTTCTTATTGATGAAATAAACGGTTAACTAATCTTTGAAGAGAAGAGGAAATTATGTAGAACTTTCAGCAATCCAAAATGTAATTTGACACTCCAAAGATTATATTAGAAAGTAGTATATTGAAAGTAGATACATACATTAATTCTATAAAATTATAAGCATGATTGACATTTTTGTATTTATGTAGTAAATGTCTGTCGTCAAGTGGTCGAAAACTCGACCAAAAATATGTAATGTACAGATTTCTTTATTTCCACGCTGTAAATAAAACATGTGATTGGATTTATATTACTTACTAGTATGGCAACCCACATGGCCTTTGTTAATTTTTAAAATTTTAAATTAATTTTTGTGTGCTTTTTTTAGCCTGTTTTAATTTATTATTTATGGTTCTGCACATCTACAGGAAACATTTTTCCAACTGTAGATTTCCCCTGTGATGCACACGAGCTGGGAAAAAAGGTTTTCAAGAAACATGCTTGCCTATTAATACATAGAATTGTGACAATATGTTTCGCCTATGTATTTAACAAACTTGTTATATGTTTCAGACGGAGCAGTTCGTGATACTATGGTTGTTGTTCGCGCTGATAGTTCTGGGAAACTCAGCAGTGATCGTGGCGTTGCAGTGTGGCAACCGCAAGAAGTCGAGGATGAACTTCTTCATCATGCAACTGGCAGTGGCAGGCAAGTCTTCCAAAACGTTTCCTGTAATTTTAGCGAATTTCCCTATAGGGAAGTAGCTATTACCGTAGGTGGCACGGTAAGACCTAGACCCGGGACTAATTTACTTTTTCATTTTGATGTCCCCAGAGGCCAAAAACACCATTCGTTCAAATTTTTATATATGTATATATATATATATTGTAAAACTATTGTATATTTATATATTTAAAAAATTGTAAATTTAAAATTCCCATGTTATTCTTATGGAGAAGATTGTCAAATGTTGTAGTTTGCTTGTTTATGGATATATGTTGATAAAACTTGGCAAATTTATATATTTTGTACTAAGCTATCAATATTTTACACAAAAACACACTTTATTAGTTTCCTTGTAGCAGCAAACCTTTGTACTCGTTAAACCTAATGTTATTAAAATATATTTAACTGAAAAACAATTCAGACAAATGGAAATTTGCTTAGTCGGCAGGTTTGCTGCGGCGGGGGTATTGTTTAAAAAAGGTAGAATTTTTTCATTGTCCGAATTCTACATTCTATAGACAGTAAATTTTCTATTTTATACATTCCTGAATTGTTATCAAGTTGTTTCCATCAGTAACTACTATTTATGTGTAACTTTCCGACGCTTTACCTTGCAAACAAGGTAAATACTGTAAAGTAGTTACTCAATTAAATTGAAGGTATGATTATAATTGTAAAAGCAAGACGGTCCATGTTAAGTTTCACAAAATAATTCTATGTTTTTCAAAGTAACTCAGCTAGAATCTTGTACTCTTCACCATAAAATTTACATATCAAGAGTTAAACAAATACTGTTTACAGTAATAGTTTTACATTTCCTTAAAACACTTTTTAAAATATAAACTTCTTGTATCTAGTACTTTGCACCCATATCTTAAATTCCAATTTTATAACGCTTCATACCACAAATCCTACAGCATTAGTGGTGACATCAAAAACAAGAAATATGAAAACCCAACTTGTAAGTCAACTTATCTGCCAAAAACCAACATCAAGATGACCCTGCGCTCCATTAATCATCCAAAGTCTTTGTAAAGAAACAGGAGCCGTGGAGTCTGAGGTTATCAATACATAGCAAATACAAAGAATACAGCCAAAATACATTCAACTCACGGGTGTATTGTATTTCAAATGTATTTCGATCGGACTCGGTTCTATTTGTAGTCAATTCGTCCGTGACTCCACTGTCTAGAGTATAGACTGTCGATTTGTCGGATAAAATACAGTTTGTATAAGTCGGTGCAGTCTCTGTACAAAATACATGTATTGGAAATGTGATCAGACTTGGTAGAAGTAAAAGTGATCAAGATTCGGATTTGTACAGACGAAACTTGTCAAATTTTTGTTCATTAGATGCAGATTATCGGATGTAGAGTTACTGATTGCTTTGATAATTTGATAGTTTTTGCTTATTTTTACATGATATAAGTTATGAAAAAGGTTCATAAGGTTTGAAATAATATTATTAAATGTATAATAGTATTAAATAGTATATTTCACACCTAGGGCCGAAAATGAGGTTTTGCCGGCTCGAACTTAAAACGATCGGGAGCTGCCATTATTTCTGTTCGTGGTACGAACGCTATTTTCCACCACACTATACCCTATTACCACTATTCACCACAATACTAATGCACACTGATAGTCAACACAACTACAACTTTAAGGTTATATGAAGAAATTATTTGAGGAATCAGCAAAAATAATAATAAATAGTTGCAAGGCAGCGGAAACAATGAATCAATTCTATTGCAATGCTGTGGATACTGATTGTGTATTTAATATGCATCCATGTTTTAAGAAAGTAAGCGGAAAGTTGATTTGGCGGCCCTATAGGGATGTAAAAACATGCTCGGTCCCCAAATGACAGCTTGCATGGCCAGCAAAACGTAGCTTTCAGCCACCAATTAACGTATGTAAAACAGCTAAAGATATCATAGTGCGGTGAATAATATTTTTTATGTTTCAACATTGTTGTAATAGTATAGTGATAAATCAATAATAATTGACTAGGTGGCCAAATAGAATATACATTTTATTTTAAAACTCCCCACTTTAAAATTGTTCAACCTTCTTCTTATATGATCATTTTTAAATGCAAATTTTCTTTTTTTCAAATTTAGTTTTCTTTTTATATGACAATAAATTTTAAATGCACAATTAAATCGAAACTATACTTTTACTGTTACAGACTTTGTTACAATGTATAAAATTGTGGATATAACAAATTGTAATGTCGAGAGTTCTATTCAATTCTTTTGGGGAATATATCATTATTGTTATTTTTTTCTTTTCAGTAAATTCTGACCTAGGAGAACCTATCCAGACAAAAAATAGTTGCTCTTTGTTCGAGACTCAAAACACTTTGACCTTTCCTTTTGATTATCTTCATCCTTAACGCCGCATCCTGTTTGAAACGAAGATCCAATCAGCGTCCGGTGGAGCTTAACTTGTTTACAGTGCTTAAGTCTAACTTTCATGTTAATCTCAAACTTGCTGTTATATCTATGTTAAAATTGCTCTACACCACTATTTTAAATTATACTTATTGCAATCACGTCGACTAAAAAGCAACATAATGCTTATTCGATGAGTGGTTTGGTTGAATGATTGTTTTTTGGGTGGGAAGATTAATGTAGTTCGGTATTTTGGCCATAAATATAACATCGTACACACAACGTTACGTTGAAATACTGTCCGGGTATAAGGGGGGTATGTTTGTGAATATGTAGACATGTACATCTCAATTGGTACATAGAAATTTAACAGAAAATTAGGTACTAAGGCTTCCACGGTCTGACACCAACACTAACACTAAAACTTGGTCTTCAGGGTTCGACTGCGCCACAGTTAGCTTATGACTTATGGCTTTCTGAAACTAGGCTTCTTGTCATATGCCTGTGACGCGGTCAAACCATAATTTATCTGGATATGTTCGTAAGTACGTAAATATGCGCATTGATATGTTCCTAGGTACGACATTGTATGTTGGTGCTATCCGAACTTTAAACGTGATTATTATAAAGAATTGTATGCTATAGTATCTGTTTTTTGGTTTGGTCTATAATTCAAAAAAGTGGATACCGGATAGTTACAATAGTTTACAAACAACACGTGTTCTGTTGCCAGATCTGCTGGTAGGAGTGCTGAGTGTGTTGACGGACATTGTATGGCGCAGCACGGTGGCGTGGAACGCTGGCAACATCGCCTGCAAAGTGATAAGATTTTCACAGGTAAGTAACTGATTAAAACTTAAATTTCTACTTACACTTATACATATTGTTAGTGAGTCAACATTTCAACCTCAACATATTTGTGCATCACCTACAATAAACTTCTAACCAAGACTTGATTTCGTAGTACAGACCTTGAGGAAGGAATTACAAAGGTTAATTGCGTGGACAAAAATGCGTGAACATTTTTAGTATCAAAGTTTTTCACCCTAAAGAATTTTTTAGAGTCACGTTCAAAAGTTTGAAATCCAGATAAATATCTGGTGTTTTGAAATCGTAGATTTGTTGGACGTCATTAACTATCATCAAGGAAAAAAACTCCTCAAAGTACCATTCAAAATAAGAAAATCCATTTTGAACCAAAAATTGTGTTCTTAATACCAAATTATAATTTTAAAAATCATACGTAATACATTCAGAGACCGTCAATGTTAGGATAAACTTAAAACTCAGACCAACTGTGAGTATGAATAATAGTAAATTCTCGGCGGTGTGGGTAGGCAAAAAAAAAAAAAAAAAACATGTTGTGAAAGTGTCTTCAAGAAGTCTAAGTGTTCTGTACAGCAATAACACCTTTTAGCCCATCACGATGGGAAATGTTCGCAATAACTTGCTAAATAACCTCGACTCACAATGAGCATAAAAACAAACATAATTGTAACTAAATGTGATAATTCAAAGAAAAATACTTTGTCTCGGAACGATCTCGAGTGTCATCGTTGTTAAATTTCGTCTCAGATATTTTTTGGCGCGTTTCCAGCCACCATAACTCTAGCGGGGGTGATAAAATCTTTCAAAACACATGAAAACATCTTGTGACTTTGAAATATTTATTTCTTTTAGCATAATTTTTGGCATTTTCCATCTCGTCATGAATCAAACTTGACATAGTAGTGTTACTGTCGTTTTCTTATAAGTGAGGCATAGATTTTATTTTAGTATCATAATCTACAATAAATATATCCATGCTTTAAATAGGGTCATTGAGATCAAGGTTTTTTTTTAATTTACTTTGAATACTGAAGTTAAATACTCTAACAAACATGTGACCTATTTTAATTAGAAATGGCAATTCAATTTAATATGCAATATGCAATTAAATGTTCATATTGACTATAGAATATCATAAATATTATTTTCTTGTTATTTACATGTTTAGTCTGGTGTTTATAATGTAAGTAGATCCATGCGAATACAATGTAATACATCTCCCAACACACTTAACGTTTAATGATAACGTTCAAAACATAAATAATATTCTATAATACATTAGGAAACTATTGGAAGTCAAAGAAACATATCCCCGATAAGTTTCGGCAGATTCTTAGGGAACTTGTTAATCTATTTTCACTCTTTCTTGAAATAATACCAAACTTATTATTAGATTGTACAAAAAACTACAAAACAATAAAATCTTAAACGTGAGTGCTAAAATTTAGTTAAAATGAATTAGTAGAGTACAAAAAATGCAATGACACAAATAAAGTACAATTTAAAAATGTGTTTAACTACTGCGATTAGTAGGCATGGCGTGTTGGTCTGTAATTCATTCCAAGTCCAAGTCCAAGTTCATATGATTGTGGCGACTAGCGCCACGTCTGGGGGAAGTGCCTGCTCGCTGGGAGCATATACTTCCGGTCTGCTGTGGGTCCAAGCCCTGGTAGCTCAGCTACCTGTAGACGTCAACGTCGTTCCTGGGGGTTAGTCGTTGATCTGGGGGCGGAGCTGCGGAACATCCTCAGCGACCAGGTCCCTGATATGTTCCCACGGAGAAACATCCGCCGTCTCTTCAAGTCTCGCTCGAAGGCCGTCTACGAAGTCTCGGAGAGTTGTCACTGCTGTGGAGTCCCTGATGACGGAGTTCCTCACGTACCAGGGTGAATCTGTCGCCTGCCGAAGAGCCTTGCTCTGGACGACGAGCAGCCTCCGTCTAGCGGTTCTGCAGGTGAGGTGGTACCATGCAGGGGCTGCGTACGTGAGGACAGGCCGAAGCAGGGCCGTGTAGAGTCGGACTCTTGCAGCCGTCGACAACTTCCGTGACTTGAGCAGCGGGCGGATGGCGCCAAGACCTTTCCTGGCGAGGTCGCAGACCCTCTCGACGTGGGGAGTCAGGGTGAGTCGCTGGTCTCCAGAGTTACCCCTATAGCATTCTTGTTATCTGTTGGCGATAACGTTGTCCCATTCATATCAACACCAACACCTCACTAAACGGTCAACAATAAGTCTTAGGGTTCGTGCTTGTAGCCTATAGTGTAACAATGACTTTATTGTGGCAATTAAAAACATAAACTGTTCCGTTATCTTATGTTTTTAACTGTAGGTTTCGACAATAGTATACTTCTTCATCAGATTGAACACCCCCAGTTCAGCTTGAAACCAACCAATTGGAATAAAATGGCATAAGATCAAAATAATGGTGCAAATTTGTTATAGTAATTTTAATCGCAAAAACATTTAAAATTAATTGTAGAAACTTTCACAGTATCACTTTAAATACAGTTTTAACAGTTAAAAAGATAGGCTGGTGGTTAATAATGAGTAAAACTAAACTTTTTAATCAAACTGGTGTCCATAAATCGTTATGTTTTTTCATTTACGCATTTTAATTTATTGTGCTTATTTTGTTGTTATTATGTTGATCCGCCTTTATATCCTGATTAATCAGAATTACATGAGACTTGAGGGTATTTCTACACATGTATTTACTATAACTGTAAAGTTTCAAGTTTGTATTGTGACCGAACGCCTGGTATAAGTATATATAAAGTTAATTCACCTGCTTGTTCATCATCAATGATCTTTAGTAAATAATAATTCAAATAAATAAAATCTGCTGAATAATAGTAAATTTTTTAGTATCATCAACATGAGAATTTACTTTTGTGTATTGTATACGAGAGTCTCTGAAACAATTTAATGTTGGGAAAATTACATCAACTATCTACCTAACCACACTCGAATTCGAGCAACAACTACCCTACAAATAAAACATTGACTATCTAGAGACTTGTTAACATGGAGGACGATGTTTGGCACTTTGCCGCAAACAATTATGGTACAGGCGAAAACAAGCGACAAAACTCGTTAAATAACAAACAGATTACGAACCGCGTTTGATTCATTACCTTTTCCATTATTTTCCTCGAGAGCGTAAACAACTGAGCTCGTTTAGTTTATAATTTTTGTTTAGTCAGTGTTTAGAAATTTGTTTATGGTTTAGAAGGCGTGAATTAACATTATGTTTAACAAAAGACAATAGAATACTGATTTTTTAAATTACGGTCGGTAAATTGATCGAAAGTTATCTTTAGGTCCCTTGAACATAAAATTATCGCAATGCTTAGGCTCAGATTCCCTAAAATGTTGATGTTTAAATAAATGGCTCTGACGTTAGAATGTATAAATAAATGAATAGCAAGTGCAATATAAACTAACAAAACAGGCTCCATCTAACTAATCCATCGATGTTTATTACAAACTGGATGTTGGAGTAGCTCGTCTCTAAACTCAAAATTACCATTTCAATCCGATATATTCTTTACCATAATCGTAAAGAGCTGTAAACTGATTTTAAAGATTTGATTTAACAAAAAGATAGTTCATGTAATATTTTTTTATTCCTTTAGGATCTAGCCCCAAATCTCTTTCCACATTACTTCACACTAGTTCTAGAAAGGGGTCGCTGCATTATCACTTGGATAAAATCCATTAGTAATTGGAGGGATTTGTACCAGGGGCTTCGGGGACCGAAGTCCCGCGCTCTACTACTTAACCAGCTCGCTCCCCTAAGTATATTTGTACTGAGATTCCCCGAAATTCAACTCTGATCCAAATTAATGTCTATATCAAAGTCGAGAAATTTTTCCAATTTTTTTAATGTCCCATGTTTTCTAGTCCACAACATTTTCCACTAAACATTGCCTACCACAGTACTTCTGACCGTGCAGAATATATTAATTAAACATTGTCCAAGGCACCGATTTACGACATAAAATAAGCGGTCTGACTGAGCTTGCAGCTGCTATGCTAGTATTTACTGCACATACAGTAAGTAAGCTGCATGCAGTTTCAAGGGTTGTTGTCGGTAGTTTTCTATATCGTGTCATGCAAACTATCTTTGTGAGTTGAGAGGAAAGTGGTAGAGGCCTACATAAATCTACTGTCTAGGTTTGATATCTCATTATTTTTTCAAAACATGAACACGAATCCTACATTTTTGTATTTGCCAAATTTTATTGTGTTTATTATTTTTTTATTAGGGAGGACCAGTTTTTGCAGATTTTCTTGACATTATTGAACCTTAATTCCGGATTTTGCCGTAGGCATACGTTTAGATAAAAAAATATTTACTACGATAAATATTATTATAGGCTATGATACAGTAGTTGAATATTTACAAAGCCGTTCGGTAAATCTCATTACAGAACTACAGTGAAATACAAAACAGCTTATTCCCTATATGGTAAATTTGCTAACCTACTTCCGAGGGAAAACAAAAAAAACACTACAGTATTCCAAAACTAAAACATACAATTGAACAACCACCACACTAATTGTTGTGTGGTGTTTTCATATCTGGGGTTTATTATAAAGGAAAATACTGCAGTTTATAAAAAAAATATTTAATAGCACGCTAATATAAGGGGGGGGGGTGTAAATTAATAAATTTACGTTTACTAGTAGACTGCATGAGGTAATGTAGGATGTTCTACATCGACAGAGTGATGTCTAATGTATGCTAACAGTGATGGCGGCCATTTAGTTCACGTTGCACATCATTAGGAACATTTTATCAACTCACACGTTCACCAATGTTGCGATATTTGAATATTAACACCTAAACTCATCTAGCTTGTTCAACAACGTAATCTGCCAAGTAAACCTTTTACCTATGTTATATGACGTAACGTTCATTTAACAAGTTATCTTATATATTACAACGTGACAGCGTTTTTTTATTTCACGATTCTGAATCAACCACTTGACGGATTTTCATGATT